CTCTTATATTGTCTCCATAAAAAAATATTGTTTAGCGCTAGTTTTTCTGATAAAGATTTACTTATGTATATGTAAATTCGTTCTAAAACCTAGAAATGGGCAAAGAGGGGTCTGCAGGCGTCCGGGGGACCGGATCTGATAAATTTTTGCATTCTAGACATCAAAATTACTGCTCAGATGCTCTCAGAATGCACCAATTAAAAAAAAAAAAATTGGGGGAGGTTCCCCAAACCCTCCCTAAGTGGCCATTGGCAGCTTTTTAAAACACCAAAAAAAGTAAGCAGGAAAAAGTGCCCTTTATTTCTTCCGGGATACCCCCTTTTCAAAAATCCTGGATCCGCCCCTGTGTATAAAGCTTAAAGGTATCATTTACGATGTCGGGTGAACACTCACCTATCCTGTTCATGCACAGCCTGTTCATGCCAATAGCATCAGGAGTCTATCAATAGATTGATAGACTCCTGATAACATATATAGCACAGGATTCCCATGAAATCGAGACAATGATCTAAAGAAGCATAATGAAAATTTCTGACAGAACATTCCTAATATACAGACTTACATTTAAACTGAATACTACCCAATAATTACAGTAATGCATGACAACTTCAAAACAATATAATTCATAGTGAATATTACTATATGCAACACTCATGGTGTTCTGTGTGAGCAAGGATGTAACGGGCATATTCAATGGCATAGGGAACTATAGCTGAAGGGGTCGTTGTCGTATCAGGTACTACATATATGTACCCGAGGTACATATATGTATACACAAAGTGTACCAGACTTGTACTACAGAAGTGTACCCTAACCCTAACCCTAACCCTAAACATACCTCATATAAAAATATAAACATAATACTAAACAACCTAAATCTACCTCGGGTACATATATGTAGTACCTGATACGACAACGACCCTTCGTGCGGAACTATAAACAGCGATAGCTGCATTTATAGACTCGGTTCTATGATGGTATATGGTTGTAGGGTCCCACTAAAGTATATATAGCCAGCTATTAAATTATACCGCTTGGTTGGTTATGGCTACATTCCTATTACATTGCATAAAATATGAATAATGGAATGTGGTACGTGGAACTGTGAGTTGGGAAGTAAATTAGATCAAATTGCATTTTAGCCACCCTAATGGCAAGGTTATTCACAAATTGCAGTTCTAGCTCGATATAATTATGGTCAGAACGTGCCTTTATTATCTTCATTATGTATTGCATTATGCAAAGCAGTGAAGCATATACATATACAACAACATGAAGTTGATAATGGTGTGCATTAGCAGCGTATGGTACAGAAAATGGTAATTCTCCTGACAGGTGAATGATTTTTTCCGGGGATTTTTTACATTTAACATCTTTGAATTTATTACTTTTGCAGGTGCCATTCAGATTAATGCGCCACCCAGTCTCATTTCATTGGCAGTTGGAATGCCAAACCCAGATATGTTTCCATTTGAAGAGGCTACAGTCAAGCTTAGGTAGGTAAAGATAAACGTATGCAACAAGAATGTTATGATCAGTATATATATGAGTAATTGAGTAACTGAGTAAAGTATGAGTGTGACAACCTAATCCTTTACTGAGTTGTATGCATTTCCGAACATGATCGTGTTTTTGAGAAGGCATGTACTCTATTCTGCACAACTAAAAATATATTTATGTGTGTTACAGAAATGGTAAAAGCTTGCAAATCTCTGCCAAGCAAATGAAAACTGGACTACAGTATGCACCATCACCAGGGTACAGAATATCATAATTGAAATGTTTGTGAATACAGGTTTACATTACATTGTTAGATACGTGATGAGCTAAACGTTAGGGCAGTCGGTTAGTATCAATCAGCTAATCGTCTCCGTATGAAATTGTCATTGCAGTGTTCCAGCATTCAGAAAAGTACTATGTGATATGCAGAAAAAGATACACAACCTTACCTATGAACCGGAGATATTCGTGACGACTGGCAGCCAAGATGGTCTCTCTAAGGTACAACAACAACCAAGCCAGACAAGTGCTCAATTCTGATAGCCTATCTTAAGCTGGGTTAATTTACACTACCAACTTTATGTTGGCGTTTTGGCGAATTGGACCAACTTTCCAACTATACAAGCTACGATCGGCAGTGTAACTGCGAAAGTCGCAGGACCAACCGATCGATAGCAACTATAGTTGGGAGATTAGAACATGTTTTATTTTTGCCAACTCAGAGTTGCCGAATTGCGAAATTGGTCCAACTCGCCAATTCGCCAACATAAAGTCGGTAGTGTAAACCCAGCTTTACATAACGTACAGAACTAGCTGTACCTCGCCCAGCACAACTGAAGAAGCTAACAGCTTTGACCTCTCCTTCTCACGTCTGCAATGAAAGTATACCAAAATAGTACCTAATAATATCTAATGATAGTATGATTACTTATCACTTTGAGTAGTAAAATTCAATGTGCAATATAATTATAGTGTGTACTTGGATACCTATATACAGACCGATCGCAGTGTTTGCCTAGTAACCACTTTTTACGGTTGAAGTACATTTAAATTAAGTGAAGTCTGTGGTTATACCGTGGCTAACTGCTATGTGCAGACGACCAGTTGTTGGTTCACGTCATCTTTACGCGGGCTCGAGTTTTACGAAGCTTGTTGTTACCAATTTCAGACATTCGAGATGTGCATGAACGTGAACGATTACGTGTTGATGGAGGAGCCATCATATCCGGGTGCGCTGGGAATCGTGAGTGAACTGTAGCAGCATTCTCATGTCTGGTTGGGTTAAGTCGACAGAATGAGAGATAAAAGAGAATAAAGCAGATGACAATTTTTCACAAATCTTAGTCAGTATGGATCTGCTGTTTGGTGAAACTTGAGGAAAATTGCATGTAACTTATTATAACTAAGAACATGATCCCACAAGAGTCATTTGACAACCTTTGTCCCTGCAACCGTTCTTTTCTTGCATTACGCTACACAATTCCATAGATTCGGTCTTGCTCAGTAATATGCTCATTGCTGAAAGGCCTGCATGCATAAACAATAATATGAATGAACAAAATTGTGAATTCATGAGTGCATGCATGCATAATATATAGGCAATGCTGCGAATGAACGCAAGACCTGAATATTAAATGCTTCAGGTGGGATTATGTAACAGAAAGTATTCACGTATAAAAAGAGTTTTTGTAGGCTGTTTCTTGGCCGTCGAGATGGCATTACGCTATGCTGAATGCTGCCACTTGTTATAATCTCAGTTGAAGCCATACCATCCAAGGGTTCTGGCACTCGAAGGTGACCGTGATGGCATCAAGCCCGAGTCACTTCGACGGGCCCTGTCACTGTGGAAACCCAGTGACGCTCAGACGGACGCCGACATGCCCAAGATTCTGTATGTGATACCGAACGGTGGCAATCCGACCGGCACGTCGCTGACCTACGAGAGAAAGCAGGAGATTTACCAGGTACAGCAGCAAGCGTGTGTCGCATGTGCCGTATGCATATTCTTGTATGTCCCCATCTGCTGAAAGCTAACCCCTTATCCTAACCTTCAGTCATTTACATCAAGTGTCGAAATTTCTGGCAAAGCTTACTGATTTAAAATGCCGATTGAACTAGCTACAATATAGATATCTTTACACAGATTATGCAGATTTCTTTTGTAATGATGACTTGCTTCCTGAAACTAATTTGAATTAAGTAGGTACACTTTACCACTTGAAAATAATTGGATAAAAATTGTTATGGTTGAGGTAAAATACAATTGAGGAGGTCTTTAGAAGGTTCACAATTAAGCACATAATTATGTTGCCACTCGTGAATGGCAAGTTTGAATTCTCTGTGATTTTTTTTGCATTCTTACTCATCTCAGAGATCATCTCATTAGATGATAAATCTTTGTATGGATAAGGGTTTGTGGAACATGAGGGAAAGAATGATATTTTTAGAAGATTGCATTTTTAGTTTTTAATCTTATTTTATAAAACTCTTCCAGTGACATAGAGTAAATAAGAATCTTTTGACAGATTGCCAGTGACTATGATCTACTCATCATTGAGGATGACCCGTACTACTTCCTACAATTTGCCGAGGTCAGTGGTCTGTTTTCATGCATGCATTTCTGCATGAACCTCTCTGTATACTTACTGCACAAGTACACCTACTACACGTTCATATGTGAACGTGTGCAAAATAATGCTGAGAGGGTCTATGTCCCCCTGGGTACTGCCGGAACGTACCCTGGTACTATCTAATATGCCGGACCATACCTCGCCTACTCCACTAACGAGTCTAGGGAGCCACCTACGCCTACTCCCTAATCCTAACTCTAACCCTAACCATATTGTATCTAGAGTAGAGTGTATCTAACCCGACCAGGCTGTCAGTGTGTGAATGACGTCATTATACATATGGTATTCTAACCCTAGCAATAGGCTACCGTTTCTTGTAGCTAGAGTGTATCATGACATTGTCATTGATTTGACACTAGCAAACTAATAATTAGTAATAATACAGCAAGTAGAAAAACAGCAGAAAACACACACTTTGTTTGCACAGTAGTTAGGCCCTACTGATTGCTTACCTTGTATAACCGCTATAAAACGTTACAATCTTTACAATCGTATCGGAAACTTCTCCCTATGTGCGCCGCCATGTTTGACGTTTTCCTTTACCTATATCGCTAGCTCTAGTAACTATAGCCCGCGTACAGTTGCCGCAGGAGTTCCCTGCGGCGGAGCGGAGGGCTATAGTACTAGAGCTACTATATCGCATGCTTTATTATATAAATTTACTTTCAGGATATTATCTTTTATAAATTACAATAGCGCATAATCTTTGCAAATTTACTTATCGTGGCCTAGCATATAGATATTTGTTGAGAACGTAATTTGTTGTATGTATAAAGATGTATCATTTACGACTGCTGTAGTCTGTAGATCTGATATCTCGAAACAGCTGTTTCACAAGTGTGTATAGAACCTCTGATCTAAGTTGTAAACACGTTGGTCTGTAAACGAATCAACACGCACGATCTCTGAGTATAGGCACCTACATGCTGGTTCGTTCCCAGTCGCAGCTTCACAACTCAGATAGGTGTTTTCGTGTGTAAATTGATCCGATCGTGTTCTGAATACAGTCATCGGGGATTCAGTCTCAGAAACTAACAACATTAACATGAATTACGCCAGGTTTATCAACAAACTAAGTTCTGCAAGACAGCCGTCAGCATTGAGAATGTTGAGTAAGTAACTAAGTTTCAGATATATTTGGGCTTATAGTTATAAGTTATATAATATAATATACCGGTACATGTTTTTAGCTCAGCTGACGAAGTCAGTTGCAGCTTGTAGAATCGCATGATTAATTTGTCCGTCCGTCCGTGCGGACCCATCCGTGCGTCCGTCAACAGTTGGACACAAATCTTATCGGTTATCGGTTATCGGTTATCGGTTATCATGTTTATCGGTTGAAATGAACAAAGAACACCCTCACCAGTACCCCTGTCGATTTTAAACGGGCTACCCCCACATTTACGAAAATGACAGGTTTCAATGGGCCCCATGTCCTCTATCCTTGAACCCAAATGGCAACCGCTCGACGTACGGTATTGATATTCGTGACGTTGGGGGGGGGGGTCGCGAAAAAGACGCGGGATGTCGAATTTGGGGGGTCAAGGGTCACAGGTCAAGGTGTGTCAATGGATGCGGAATATTTCTTTCTTAACTTAAGAAGGAAAGACGGAATTGCGGCACAAATCTCAACGCTGTTAATATTCGATGTATAGTGTCAGGGGCGGATTCAGACCGTATTTGCCCGGGATAACTTTACCCCGGGCGTAGATGGAGGGTCACGTGATGTGGCTGCACTTGTGTTAGGATTATGGTTAGGGTCAAACTGCATGCAGTGCCCCTTCCCACACTCAGGATAATACCAGTACCAGTAGTATTGAGCCAGAGCGAGAGCGCCATCTGTCGTGGAGTTTGGGTTAGGGTTAGGGCTAGTGCTGCCACGTAGCGGCACCTTCCACCTACGCCCGGGGGAAAGTGACACCCGTATAAATTTGCCGTATTGGGAAATACGGTCTAGATTTCCAAGTGCCCTTCGAAATTTTGCGCTAAAAAAAAAACAGAAAACAATTTGATGGGATTTGGCTATATTCTTTATTTGTTTTCGTTTTCTTCTGATTCAGTGACAGGAATTGAAGGAAATCAAAATTTTACATGGTAACAAAACTATAGCTTTGATATCTGAAAAAGAAGGGAAGTGCTTGAATCATTCTGCATTAATTGTTGGTATGCAAATTTAAAACACAGGCAAAGTGAAGCAGAAATAAAATTCCATATGGTTTTTAGCTATTGCTGCTTGACTAAATGTGTGCTCAAATGAAGCTCATTTTTGTACCCAGGGAGTCCTGTGCGTCGGATCCGACATGAACCAAAAATCCGATCCGACAGCATTTAAAAAAATCCGAATCCGAATCCGAATCCGATGGCTATTTTGAATCCGATCCGAATCCGAATCCGATGGCAATTTTTGAATCCGAATCCGAATCCGATGTGTATCGCTAAATCCGATCCGAAATCCGATCCGAAATCCGACCC